CCTGTTGGGGGCTGAGGCGATGATGCTCGACCACCATCGGGTGTATGGGAGGGCACACAGGATCCTGATGTGGGCCAAGGTGATGATGCTAGACCATCAGTTGAGCGTGAGGGACGATCGGATGGTGCGGACATTGGAGATTCTAAAGGTCAAAATAACATTCGCACATCTAGCGTACACTTGAGGAAGGTTGAGAAGCGTTTAAAGAAGCTGGACAAGTGTATGGGCGAGCATATGTGTGGCATCGAGGCTGAATTGAAAGCAATCAGAAAGTATTTGAGGCGAATTGCTAAGGTACGCAAATTTGGACAATGGTCATTTGTTATGACTTGTATTTTTGGTTTTTTATTTCTACTTGTTATTAACGTGTCGCTGAATATGTAGGGCTTACCTGTTGACGCGGACGATATGAGGAAACGAAAAGGTACCAACCCGGGTGGTGGTGCTGGCCCGATAGATGGTGATGAGCTGGGAGATGGTACCGACCCGAGGGATCGTGGTGAGCCGAGGGATGGTATTGGGCCGAGAGAGAGTATCGAGGCAGATGCTGGTACTGGGCCGGATGCCGGTACTGGACCGGGAGATAGTACCGAGCTGGATGCCGGTACTGGGCAGTTGATTGTACCGCATCAGATGTTGGTGCTAGAGATGAGTCTGGAGATGTGGGCGACGGTGGTGATTACATGGGGGTTGATACAGTAAAGGTATGTACTATATACGTCGCGAGTTTGAACATTTAACTAAGTTTTATTGAATTCTCCTGATTTGATAATGTAGGTACATGGTGAGGGGGTCGTTGTTGTTGATATTGAAGAACTTCCCCCGCCTCACGATCGGGTCATTCTCGGAGCTGACTTAGAAGGACGTCATACACCTCAACACTCGGTATGAATGGTTAGGTGATTTATGCGTATTCATTTTCCACTAGATTTATTAATAATTTTTTATTTTTCCCAACAACACGAATCTGCCAAGGAGAACGTCGAAGAACGTGTCAAATCAACACCGGTGGACCACATTATTATTGATTCGCAATTAACCGATTCCTCAACAGACAAGGTACGTAGTTGGTTTCCATTGTCGTCATACATAACAAATATTTGTTATTCTAATAATACCGCTTTAGGAACATTGCATGGACGATTTCAAGGATTCTGACATGGAGGAAACGAGGGAGGTTAAATCACAAACGGCTGCGGATGTGTCTGGCAAATCACATGTGGATGCAGACGAGGTTTATGTGCTATCACAGCCAGTTGCGCCACCGAAGCCGCGACCTGGCTCTCGGAAGAGGAAGACACCGTGGAAGTTCCGTGGATCATTCGTGGTCATGGAGGACGGGAGGAAGAAGAAGGCTATCAGGTATGATCCACTATTACGAATCCCCCTTGAGCAGGTCACCAAGTTCCACAATTGGATGAATAGCCCTACGACAAATCATGCGAAAAGGAAATCGTGCTACGGTAAGAAGGGCAAGACGTGGTCTCGTGACCTTTTAACGTCGGACAAGTGGCTGACCAGCGACGTACGGGATCGAAACTATACTATCAATTTATTCTGTTATTAGCATGTGTGTAACAATATCGATACGCACAGGTAATCAATTCGTTGGTCATGTTCACGTGGAACAAGCTGGAGCAGCGTCCGGACTTATGCTCTAGGAGGTTCACGACTGGTGACATAGTGCTTGCAGTATGCTTTTATGTAGTATTACAAGTTTTGCATAGTATTATAAATTTTGACCATGATTTTATCATTTTCTATTGTCAACTGTAGAACTTCTTCCGCCGTACTGATTGGTATATACCAGAGATTAATCGCCCCCAATGTCGTTCTTGTCGGGTATGTTACTCTAAACTCGTAGTTTGTATTTTATGTAAAAACAAAAATGTATATTCAATAAAGTTTTATTCAATAAATTTGTTGTTGAATTCATAGCATTGCATTGTCCAAAATCCAATAAACTAAACATTCAAGGTTATTATCATGTAATCGGGACAGTATATATTGGGTATATATTTGATATACACCTGATATACGAGGTATATATTTGATATGCCCCTGATATATGAATGGATAATGTCTCGTGAATAACCTAAAGGGTCTATAGTATATGGATAAGGCTGGGTACTTTATCCTGGCAACACTATGGATACGGCTCACACTATAAAGGTTATAGACGACTCGATCTAGGTCTTTCGTGTGGACACATGCGAGTGGGGATATCCTATACAATGAGTTTGTATAAGATCGGATCGCGAAATAGTCAATCTTTAGATGTAATACCGTTAACTAATAGATTGCTATTTCTTAGTATGACCAGGCAACTCATTCTCAATCCTGAGTGAGTCATGGACTCCTGCCCGTGAGGGCTCGTCCTTTGATCTGTATGGGTGAGAGTGGCCCGAGTCGCCGACTCGACATTCCTACCATTTTGGGGACGAGACCGAGTGGGGAGCTAGGAACATAACTTCACAAGATGGAATTCACTCATCCCCGACTTTAGGGGAGTAGATGAGTGTTCTCTTAATTACTGACTCCGGGACTTGAACAAGGGGCCCTACCCTCTCACTGGCCCGAGAGGGACTTCTGGTTCTTGGTCGAACCATAACCGTGTTGTTCATTAGAGGAGCAGTGGTATTTAAGGAGCAAGATGTAACTCAATGGTAAAACGGTAATTTGACTCAACTTGAGTTACGAGTACTCCTGAAGGATTGACTTGTCATTAATGGTTATATATCCATGGACACGAAAACATTCTGCAGTGAGAAGAGTGCAGCTGCGAGTCTTTAGTGGAGTGACCCGTAGTTAACGAATGTTGATTAACTCGGTCAATGAGTTTGACCGATTAATCTCGTATCGTTGGAGCTTCTGATTTGTAAGTTCATTAGGTTCCCTTGCTAGCTCGTAACGGGTAAAACGAGAATCAAGGTTTTGGAAGAATTTGAACTGTTCAAATTACTCAAGGGAATACATGTATATTGATACATTATAATATATAGTTAATTCTAAATTAAAACTATATATTATGAGAGAAATTATTTGAATGAGATTCAAATAAAATTAATATGAATAAGATTCATATTAAAACTATAGGTTAAAAAATAATGACATAAGATGTACATTACAACTATAGGTTATATGAGAGAAATGCTTTAGAATATGATTCTAATTTTGTAATAAATAATTAAATGTTAATTATTTATTTGATTTATATATATATATATGTTAATTAATTATTAATTGGATTAATAATTAATAATTATTTATTAATTAATATGATTAATTAATAAATTATATATATATATATATTAATTATTATTAATTAACAATATTATTTTATAATATTATTATTAATAATAAATCACTCTCCTGCAAAAATGCAGGGGAGTGGGAAGTTAATATGATGTGGGGAGTTACCCCACGTCATTTTCTTTTTCTAGTTTGTTGCAGTCTTTTTCTAGTTTGTTGCAGTAGTGTTCTATAACACAAAAAAAAAAAAGAACTCCCAATACTCTCTCAACAAGGCTCTCTCAATTCTCCCTCTCATCCAAACCTGTGCTCCCACAAGCGTGTTCTCGAAAAACAAGAGGATAGCACGGAAGATCGTTTGGTAGTGTTAGGAAATCATTGAAGAAGATTTCTTCAAAGGTAAGGAAAAACAAGTTTTCCCCTGTATTTTCATTTTTGTACAAGTTTTGGTTTTGTTTCTCAAAAATCATGAACGATGGTCCGCTTCCACTCCGGGATTCACATCCCATCAGTTCTAACAACAATGTCAGCCGAATATTATTGGGATAGTCGATATAAAATGGTCATTAGCTACGTCGACGGCACTCACACAGACAATGGGACAGGTGGCTGGAACTCGACGCTGTATATTTGCCGTACAACATCGGTAGAAATCATTGGATCATGGTTTGCATCGACATGTAGGAGGGTGAGATCATCGTATGAGATTCTATGATGGCAATCACAACACCGGATGCTCTAGAGGAGGAGTTGAAGCAGATGAGCATCATTCTCCCGCCATTGATGTGTAGAGCCGGAATTAGGGTAGTGAGGCCTACCATACCTAATGTACCATGAGTAACTGGGGCTCCACAACAGATTGGTTCAGGTGATTGGGGTATATTTTGGGTTAAAATTTTCGAATACGATGTAACGGGTTCAAATCTTGCGACTCTGACTCAAGAGAGGATTCTATTTTTTAGTGAGAAACTCGCGATTGAAGTTTGGGTAAACATGTGTATTTTTTTATGTATAGTGATTTTATAAACTGAGGCAATAGTTTGTTTATATTTTACATTACAAGTACATCGACAATATCCCGACTCGTGTTAATTATTCAATAAACTAGTACAAAATGAAAACTATTAAAATGAAATAATCTGCACATAGTTTGCGCAAAGAAAAAAAAAACAAAAAAAATCCTGAAACTTGTTCAATGAAACAATCTGCATACAACTTACGCCCAAGAAACCAAAATCTATTAAATTTCTCGGGCGAGTTGTCCTCAATCTCGCCCGAGAACGTTCCATTACTACCCGAGAAATTTTATAGTGTTCGAAATATGCACATGAAATCATTTCACCGATCGAGAAATTGTATGTTTCGCCCGAGAATTACCACAGAACTATAACGTTCACCCTCTCTTTTCTTCCAAAACCTATATGATCCATCCATACATGCACACGGACACATACTTATACATACAACTTCAACACAAATCCAATTTATTTATGTGGAATGGACACATACATATGGATATAAGCCAAGTAAAAAATACACATATAGCTATGCATCTAATTCTCATTCTCAGTCGTTCGCAGTGGTTAACGACAAGTTTTTCTATTGTGACCTTGCATTCCACACCTACCGCATTTGTATATTTGTTGAGGCTCTCTGTTAGAAGGTATTCGTACGGTTTGTCTACATCCTACTCTCGGAACGAACTTTGGAGGCTCGATGGTGAATTCAACAAAGTCATCTGGTAAAACTCAATCCTCCTCATCACCCAAGGGAAATACTGGCTTGGAATAGGCAATAATAAGCGTCTCCAATTTATACTTCGGCAAACGTAATGTGTATATATTTACATTACGATGCATGACCACAGCAACAGCATGTGAGCATGGAATCTGGTAGTAGTCAAACTGCTTGTACGTACAAGTCCTAGTGTTCAGATTGACACGCACTTTACTACTACCGTTGTGTACCTCGTACTCAAAATTGTTGATAGGGTTAACTCCATGCCGTCGGGCCTGCTCCACAGCTTCCTTAAGAATATTTTCAGCATAGTCAGTCAGAATGGTCGATCTGGTGGATGCGTATATCCGCCGCTCATAAAACCATTATTGTAAAAGAGCCCTACAATGTTCTAACAGTGCAGTGACCGGCAATGCCCGTCCATGAACAAGTACGACATTCATGGACTTCGCAATGTTAGTCGTCATTTGGTTGTACGTCAGTCCGGGTTGATATGCACGTGTCCATTTGTCGAATCCGATGTCCTCTAGATACTTCTGAACTTCTGGTAATCCTGCGTGTTGGTTCCAACAATATCTGAACGTAGACTTCTTAAACGCCGTAGCTGCTTGAATGTACAGCCTCTTCACATCCTCGGTCCTAAAATTGAACTTATCGTTCAAGTTCATCTGTACATGATGCATGCATGTAACGTGTTTTACATCGAGGAAGACCACAGCTACTGAGTGATTAATGGTTTGGTGCTGATCTGCACGAAAACCAATCCACTAATGTCCCCAATACAACCCTTGACATGCTCCAAAAACCAAATCCATGAGTTGTCTTTTTCCTTATCCACAATTCCAAATGCTAGTGGATATATCTGATTATTCCCATCGACAGGAGTGACTATAAGTATCACACCTCTATACTTCCCCTTTAGATGTGCACCGTCAATGACAAGCACAAGTCGAATGCAACTTCTGAAGCTTCTTATTGAGCAGCCTAGAGCCATGAATGCATACTGGAAGAATTTATTGTCCCTAGCTTCATGGAAAAAACCGTGCCCGGGTTCATCGATTTCAACGCCTTGCCATACTTACGCAAGAGCGTATAAGACTTCTCCTACGATCCCATCAGTAGGTCCAACGCTCTTTCTCTCGCACGACAAGCCTTTTCATATCAGATGTTTACCCCATAATTTTTTCGCAGGTTATTAACGATATCCTTTGGACGATAATGACGACTTACATCCTCGAGGTTGGATTTTATGATCTAACCCACGACATCACTTCTAGCTAGTCGGTGGTCATGTTTCATCACCTCACGTCTACAACTATGCAACTCATGGAACGTAGAGATAAGGAAAGTATCCAAACCTTTAATCTTACTTGTCACGCAAGTTCCATCTGCATCCATCCTCTGAGCATCCAACCATATACAAGCTCTTATTTCTTCACGCGATATTCGAAATTCAATTTCATCGCAAACACAGATAGTTTGAACTGCAATTCTTCTTTGGATCGGAAAGTACTCCCTACCGCAACGTCCACATTTGACACACCAACTTCATTGTCCTCACCTATCGTAGTGAGTACCTTTAAGCAAGAAGCTTGACCAGTTGCAGACAGTTCATTCGTACTAACTGTGTGCACTTCGGTCAAGAGGTCCAAAGATGGAGCGGCTACATCCTCGAGGTCTACTTCCTGATTGTTCTCAACATCATCATAGTTTTCGAACTCGGTATCGTGGTTCTCACTATCATTATCGAACTCAGTATCATGGTTCTCATCATCCCCACCTTCATACTCCATTTGATTGTCATCATTGTCTTCCCATTAACTGAAATAGTTTGTTTCATCATCGCCTAGGTTACATGATGGACCAGCATCCGGGAGCGAGGAATTCAAAGGAACAAATGGCACAAAATATGGAATGGTTTGCCCTACATGGTGAGGAACTTAATGGAATGCTTCAGTCCTTATAATAGTACAATTCCGTGAAGTGCTTCCACTACCTTGTTTTTCCTTCGGTACAGTAGATACGTACAGTGGGACTTCACAGGGAGGTGGAGGCCCTCTTAAAAAAACCTGAGGCTATGGTCATCAAATATATAATACTGTGGAACCTAATACTGAGGATTGAATAGGTATACACAACGTATCAAGATGTTGAACTGGTCCCGGTAAATTCTTGTAAGCATGAACATGAGACTTATGAGCTCATCGTACGTTATATTATCCTCCACATCTAAGCCTCCCATAATCCAACCTTTGTATGCATATTCAAACTCATTCCACCTACCACCATAACTAACAAATAGACGAGGCATCTTGCATTACCGACGAACAACATAAAAAAAAAGTTAATTCACGAGGGAAATTAAGATAATTGTGAGCGAAATCAAGTTAATAAACAGGCGAATGTACAAGATTTCTCGGGCGAAGACATGTAAAATCTCTGGCGAAAAAAATAAAATTCTCGGGGCGAAAACATGAACATTCTCGAGCGAATACATGTAAATTCTCGGACGTGTTGCTTATTGTAAGAATCTCGGGCGAGATGCCTATTATTTTCGCCCGAGAATGGTTAACAATTAGCCCAAAAATAGTTACGTAAACCAGAACCAGTGAACTGTTTCACCCATATCCACACTACGTTTAAACAAAATATTAAACCTACGGAATAAAAATTATACAAAAGCTAGCCCGAGATTCTAAAAAATAAATATCACCTACCTTGTTAATGTAGAAAAATATCACTTTCAGATGGAAAAGTCAGAGGTAATTTGCTGGTACGTAGTTCATTTTGTTCTCTCAGAGCTGAGTACAAGATAAACTGATGAAAATTAAAGTCGTTCGTGGGAATGTTTGCTGAATATGCGAGTTAGGTGTTTTCCTTAATTGAAAAACTTCAATTTTCGGCCAAGACAGATGCATTTCACGGATGTGAAATTAATGTAGGTTAACAAATTTTCCACAGTTTTTGCTCGAGAAATTTTCGATCTCGTCCGAGAATTCAATTATTTTTGCAGGGTAGTTGCGTACATTTACTTCCATTGACGCGTCAGAAAAAGCACTAATGGGCTATTAGAAACATTTCTTGAGGGGTGGGTCATTTGAGCAAAAAGTTTTTCCTTAAAGGCCATTTGTGTCAATTTCCCATCAAATTGCCCGTCGGATTCACATTTTTTAAAAGATTTGCCTTCTATTTTTCATCGCTTGTCCCTTTCCTTTTTCGCTCCAGCTCTTGGTATCGGACAAGTACCTTTGCTTCTCTCTCTCTCTCTCAAGATTTGAAGCCAGTTGAGGTAAGCTATTTCTTCCACCTTCGCATTCTATGGCGTGTTATGATTCAATTGGCAAGTTACCGTTTATAAATTTCAGGAATTTCGTTTCTAATGTGTTGGATAGTCGTTTAATATGCCATGTAAGAGAATTATATTCAGTGGGTGTGATGCTTTTTGAACGATGCACTGATTAGTGTTCAATGAAATGCTTGAGTGATGCGAGGAAGGCCTTTAGTTGAAGAACTAATATAGCTCCTACGAGTTTAATTTGGTGGGCATGAGTTTCTTGTGTTCTCTTCCAAGGTTGCTTGATTATGTTTTAGGCTTGGAAGGAAAAATATTTATCTATGACGGATTCTCCGTATCCGTGCCTTCAAGGATTATCTCTTCCAGTGTAGAATATTTTTATGTTCATAAGTGCTTGATTTGATCGTTTATACACTATTTAGATTAGTCTTATGTTGATTGCATTCGTAATTTTGCGGAACTGCACATGTGTAAAATTTATTTGTTATGAAATGGAATGGATGACAATAGAATTAGTTCGAGTTATGAAAACAACCAAGAAAACTCTTCTTCATTTCGAGGAAGATGAGGCGGAAGAGGAAGAGGTTTTAGTATAAACCAAGGAAGTGGTCATGGCAATTTCTCTCACATTAAATGTTTTAATTGCAAAAAGTATGGTCACTTTCAAGCAGATTGTTGGGCTCCAAGAAATGAAGATGGAAATCATAATTCCACCATGATGCACAAGGAGGAGAAAAATGATGAAGGAGTTATATTTCTTGCATGTAATGCTCAAGAAAATATTGAAAAGAGCCTACATGGTATATTGATAGTGATTGTAGTAACCACATGACAAGAAATAGAAGTATATTCGTTACTTTGGATGAATCTTTCAAAAGTGAAGTGAAAACTGGTAATGATACCAAATTGCAAGTCAAAGGTCGAGGTGATATTCTCGTTAAGATGAAGAAAGGAACCAAACAAATTGTGGATGTGTTCTATGTTCCGGGTCTGAAGAATAATCTTCTGAATGTTGGTCAATTGCGCCAACAAGGACTCAAAGTTTCATTTGAAGATGGTGTTTGTGGAATCAAAGATTCAAGTGATGTTCTTATTGTCAAGGTGAAAATGACGGGTAATAAAATGTTTCCAATGAAATTTTCATATGGTCAAATTGCTTTTTTTACTATCATATTAAAAGATCCATCTTGGCTTTGGCATTTTCAATATGGTCACTTGAATTTTGGATCATTAGCATATATGTGCAAAAATCATATGGTGAGAGGTATTCAAAATATCAACCATGTGACATATATTTGTGAGGTGTGTATTTTTGCAAAACACCACTAGGATTTGTTTCCAATTGATAAAGCTTGGAGAGCTTCCAAACCTCTTAAACTTATTCATTCTGATTTGTGTGGTCCTATGCGCATAATATCAAACGGAGGTAATTGTTATTTCATAACCTTTATTGATGATTTTAGCATAAAATTGTGGATTTATTTTATGAAAGAGAAAAGTGAAGCATTTAATTGTTTTTAAGGTTTTAAAGCTTCTGTTGAGAATCAAAGTAGCCATAAAATAAAAACGTTGAGATCTTACCGCGGTGGAGAATATATAGTTTTTGATAACTTTTTCAATGATCATGGTATTCATCATCAAAAGACTGTTCGGATAACTCCACAACAGAATGGAGTTACAGAAAGAAAGAATATAACAATTTGGAGATGGCTAGGAGCATGTTGAAAGCCAAAAAGGTAACAGATGAATTTTGGGGAGATGTTGTTGCATGTACTACTTACATCTTGAATCAAGCTCCAACAAATAGTGTTCCAGGTTTGACTCCTTATGAAGCATGGTATGGTGAGAAATCATGTGTTAGTCACTTGAGAAATATTGGGAGTATAGCTTATTCTCATATTCCAAATAAGCTAAGAGGAAAGGTTATCGATTATATAATCTTGTGTCGAGAAAGATTATTATTAGTCGAGATGTGATTTTTAATGAAGAGGAATGTTGGAATTGGGATGATACTTGTGAAGCTAAAAGTCTATTTCATGTTAACGTGGATGAATGTAGAGGTGCTCAAGATTGGAGCAAGTAGGGATTTAGTCAGTTGCATCTTCATCACAATCTTTCGCTAGTGATGAAGAAACCTCACCAGGGAGAATGAGAGATATTCAAGAAATTTATAATGCTACTAGCAGAATTGATGATTTTACTAATTTTGAATTATTTGCCGGTGTTGATACTATAAATCTTGATGAGGCGATAAAGATGAAAAATGGGAAATTGCAATGGATCAAGAAATTTATGCCATAAAAAGAAATGAAACATGGGAGTTGTTGGAGCTTCCTGTAAATAAACAAGCTCTTGGAGTGAAATGGGTGTATAGAACAAAGTTGAAGTCAAATGGTGAAGTTGAAAAATACAAGGCAAGACTTGTTGTAAAAGTTTACAAGCAAAAGTATGTAGTTGATTATGAAGAGATATTTGGTCCTGTGACCAGAATTGAGACCATTCGATTGATTTTGTCTTTGGCTGCTCAAAATGGGTGAAAAGTTTATCAAATAGATGTAAAGTTCGCCTTTTTTAATGGATTATTGAAGAAAGAGATATTTGTTGAACAACATCTAGGTTATGTGAAAAAATGAGAAGAAGAAAAGGTGTACAAACTGAAAAAGGCCTTGAACGAATTAAAGCAAGCTCCACGAGCTTGGTACAATTGCATTGACAATTTCTTTTTTAAGATGGGATTTCGTAGGTATCCATATGAGCATACACTCTGTGTGAAGGAAGATAAAGAACGACAAATTTCTTATTGTTCACTATATATCGAGGACTTGCTTTTCACTGGAAATGATAAATTGATGTGTGATGACTTTAAGAATTCCATGAAAAGGGAATTTGAAATGAGTGATATGAGCCTCATTCATTCCTTTTTTGGGATTGAAGTCAATCAAAAAGATGGAGAGATTGTTATCTCAGAGCAAAAATATGTTGATGATTTGTTGAAAAAGTTTATAATGGAAAGTTTTTCCTTGTAAAACACCTATGGATGCAAATTTGAAATTGAGCAAAGATGATACTGGAGAAGAAGTTGATCTAAGTTTATATCGAAAATTAGTTGGAAGCTTGATGTACTTGACAGCAACGAGACCTGGTATTTTATTTACTGTAAGTATGTTAAGCAGATTCATGACAAGTCTGAAAAGAAGTCATTTGTTACATTCTTATCACCATAAATCTTGGAATTCATTACAAGAAAGTTATGAACTTAATGTTAGTTTGTTTTTGTGATAGTGACTGGGGTGGTAATGTTGATGATCATAAAAGTACATCCGATCATATTTTTAGCACTGGCTCAAGAGTTGTTTCATGGACTTTGAAGAAACAACCCGTTGTTGCTCTTTCTACCACCGAAGCAGAATATATTTCTTTATCTGCAGCTGGATGTCAAGCTTTGTGGCTATGATGGATGTTAAAAGAATTGAACTGTACTCAAAGAATTAAGACTGT